TTGAGCAAAAGGATGATTAGTCGTCTTCTTCGTCGTTGATTGAGAAGCTTTTCAATTTGAGAATTTCTTCTTTGTGTAAATGTTGTGTTGCCCATGCACGAAGGTCCCTCTTAGTCTCTCAGTCTTCTTTCTCTTTTAGCGAATTTTCCGATCTGTTTTTTTTTTTTTTTAATTTAATTTAATTTTGTAAATTAAAAAAGTTTTTTTCTTTTTTCTGTTTTTGGCCCCCACAAGGTCTGTTTTGCATTGGTTTGGGATTGTACGGTTCAAACTGAAAAGGCCTGAAAAGATAAATTACTACTTCTCTTAACCTTTTGAATTTTCAATTGAATATTAATTTATTTCTTACATTTTTTTTTGTGCAAACATTTTTTTTTTTTTTAGAAACTCAAACATCTATTTTCTTACACATCTTATTTTTAATAAAAAAAAAAATTGCTTACATCAGAAATCTTAAATCACACTTTTCGAATCCAAAATAAAAACCATTGAAATTAGGGAAATTAATATATCAATGCATATTAGTTGTGTTTCGTATATTTAATTTTACTTCACGTCCCAAAAAAACTACAGTCAAATTGAGACGTTTCACTATTTTGTTTGTCTCATACTCTCATTAGATCACTTTAATTAACTCAGATAAATCAATAGTTGGATCAAAACAAATTTTTATATTTTAATTTGTTACTACGAGATTGTTTTTTCGAAAAAGCACTACTACGAGATTGTTCCACACCCAGGTGCGTCACATCTACGCAAAATTATATACAATTCCATTGAATATTATAATGATATTTTTTTGTCCTTTGACTTTATTCATAAGAATCGACCTATTACAACGAAAGCAAAATTTTAATACGATTCGAATTTGATCGTATATGATATTGTCCACCATATGCATATGTACACGTTAGGTACTACTTATTTTTTTGTCAACCAACGTTAGGTACTTATCATCTTCGTTTTTAGATAATAAATTAAGCTCTTCATTGTTTACAGTTTTTGAGATTTTGAAAAAGCACGGTTCAGGTTTGTAGAAAATAATCTAGAACATAGCAAATTCGAACACTAGAAAAGAAAATATCATATATAATACAATCAATAAATACATAATTTTTTGGAATATCGATATGATGTTTTTTTTTAAATCATTCTTTAACGTTTAAATTAATATTTTAATTGTGAAAATCTAGTCGTAAAAAGTCATCAAAACAGAAAATAAATTAAATTTTTACTTGACACCTGATTACGCCAACAAAATCAAAGTATATAAAATTGTCTTGTAAAAATCTATAATTTTTCAATTATGAAGAGTGAATATTTCATAAAACCTAAACAGTCTAGATTCAGATAGCCATAATCACGAATTCGAACTTTCAAGCTGTACAATGACGATATGGTTGTCATATTCGCCAAATTTTTGAATTTTCCGTCCTTATCCTATCATACAACATCTAACGTACATGTTGTAGATGGATTAACTTGTCCCATTTTTTTTAAAGAAGATGGATCTATTGTAGATTTTTTTTGTTTTTTTGATAAAAAGTAAATATCATTTATAGGAATAAAAGTTGAGGTTTTTTTACCGTTTTACAAAGGAGCTTAACCTTAGTACTAAAATGTAGCCTTGCCAAAAAAAGTACATAAATAACCTTGTTGGTCTTTTGTTAATGTCGTAGTCTAAGCTATGTTATCAGTTTTTGCTTATATTGCAGTAGCCAAACTTTTCGGCAATAACTAGACTAAACTGTCATTGTATACGACAAAACTGTTTAAATACCCAAACATTAATGCATGAACTTGGATTCAAAAATCTGTCGCCGTGGATATTTTGATAGGAATATATGTATTTTAAATATAGGCGTGGATGGTCTTTGATGCATATACAAATATCTGGACTCAACCGAACAATGACCTAACGTCCAAACACAAGAAGACAAATTAAGCATCGATGATTATGAATATATATAATTTTTTTTTTAACAATGCGTAGGAATATTTTAGTTCTTGATTTATTTTAAGTTTCAACCTTTGAAGCATCCAATGATAACTTTCTTACAAACTATAATTGTAAATCAATTAGCGTCGCTCATCGGTCATCATCGCGTATGAGAAACTATACTACATTACAAAAACCGAAATCCTACGTACCGTCGTGGTCGTTGACTATCTTAGATTATATTTAGCTAAAAACCACACCGTATTTGGCATTAGAAAATAATATAGATTCTCAAAATGTTAAGAATTTGTCAAAAATGAAAATACATGAGTCAGATAGCTCGAAAACAAATGATCTTACTTTTAATTTATTTTGAGTTAAGGGTGTAACTCATTGCTATCTCAGAAATATCATCAATTATGAATCAAACTAAATTTTGAAATTTTAAATTTGAGTTATAATTGATTTACCATTTGAGTTATGTCCCTTGTAAAATTGCTAACTCCAAAGTTAATCCAAAATCATGAAAGATAGAATGAATTAGATGTTAAGTTATTTGTTTGTTTTTTTAATATCCACCCGAC